TAATTATCCCATTTTTGTAACCACAAACGAAACAGCACTAAGGCAAAATATGAATAACCACCGTCATCATAGCTCTCACCATCAAAGCATTTGGATTTATTCAAACTTTATTTAGTAGAAAAAATGTGCCTTTAAAATACGGTGAATAATGCCACTCTGGACATTTATTAGTATCTCGTTCAGATAGAAGTGAGGGGAATAACTGCATTTTACTATTAAATCCTATGGTAAGATAATGCAATTGAGAACTAGTTAAACGTTAAACATAAAAGGTCTCTGAGGTAATTGTATTGCTTCTCTATTCACAGTTATATAAAAAACGCCGATAAGTGTGAAGATGCCACAGGTATTTGGAGTTTGACAACTCTTTAACCAGTAACACCTTCTACTATGAATCGCACCCACCAAGTGAAATAAAAAAAAGAAGTGAGGAGGTTCGAAGATATATATTGATAGGGTATCAATATCTTGAGAATCAACTGATATAGACTGACTTGCGATTGCAGGGGATGTTGAGTACGGCGCTCCCACTCGTGATCTGGTGAGGATGCATGCCAGAGCGCCTTCAGCCAGGTGAGTCCATTAAAAAGAATATGGTCAGCATCCAATGTCGAAGACTTACAGAGTTATTTATTTTGGGGATTTATTTACCGCTGGAAGCGCCTTACTAGTGGTGTAAACAAACCTTTAAAAACTCATTTGAAATTGGGTAGACAAATCCATTCACGATTAATTAACGTGTCAAATTATAAATCAGGAAGCTACATACTTCACACTTATTTTGTAACGTATCTTAGAAACTTTTCACATCTGTTTTATTTTATTTCTATTCATCTTAATATATGAAGTCTGATTATGCTCGGATCTATAATTATTACTGTTATTAATATCATTATTAGTCTCTAGACACATTAGATATTCTTTTCATTTCATCTTATCCTTCTAAACATATTTTATTGCTAAACATACAGAGTCTTTAACTAAAAACAAATTATCTCACGGTACACTTAAATAAATTAACTCCTCAGATTCGTTTTATCTTCACCATATATATCACATAGAAATGTATATTTGATTATCCTTTGCAAATAATTATGACTTTCATAGCATCATTTTAAATTATTATTGCACAAATGTTTATACTAATATCAAGTTTTACTCTGTATCTACGTGTATTTACTCGAGTGCACTTATTATTATTATTATCATGGTTTAACCCTTTCACTACCTGTTCATTTCTTTTCTCTCTATTTTTTTTCATCTAAATAAATGTTATTCTTAAGATTATGAAGTTTGTAATTAAGACAATAACTTGTGTTACATTTAAATTAACTCCTCAGACTCGTTTTATCTTCACTGTGCATATATGACTCATACATATTGATATTTCATTATCTTTTTCACATAATTGAGACTTTCATAGCATCACTCCAAACTATGACTACATAAACACTTACTCTAACGTCATACCTTACTGCAATGATAAGCTATTTTCCCATTTATTTATTTTGTTTTGTATTTATTACTCATTTGGCGATATATACATAGTCGTTTATTCTTGTTCTGTGTTCATAAACACGCTTATTAAACTATTTGTGTATTTCACGTCTCCTTCATTTCTATTCCCTTATTTTCTTCCTTTCCCTCTTTAAACTCAATTTAATATTCTTCTCAATTACACAGAACCTGATTTACCATTATTATTACTCTCTTTTTCAAATATGGCAAACATAATGCTAACATTATTGAAACTTGTGTATTATTGCATTTTTGAAGAAAGCCGAAATGGTTTCTTCACAACACTTATGTACCCATAAAATGTTTGTGAATAATAATAATAAGTCCTTTTTCAAAACATAATATCGATCTCTCGGTGTTTAACCAATACTAATGATCGCGGTATACATCGTAGTGAGGTACTCAACTAACAGAACTTATGTAGAAAGGCTTTATAGCTATAAGTTCATTTGAATTGTATTCAAGTTGACGTAAATAAGTGTTAAAACGGTCGGAGTTTCCTCGTCTACACGAAAGAGACGTTAATTTGCCGTAGATGAATATCTACACTAGATTCATTCTCAGTATCTATTTTACAGGACTTCAACACAACTCAGATCAACAACACATAATTAGCCTGACCACAACGTAAATATATTTCCACACCAAAAACCGACACAATCAATAATAATAAGGGTAGGAAAACACATAACTCATCTAATGCCTGTCAGACAATTATCATCCTCGCCCCCACATCACCTCCCTCACGAAGTTTGCTCGTGTGACTTCACTTTTGCGTCTATTTGGAAAAAATCTCGTTTGTTTCCGTTCCCTTGATGACCTTCGGCTAGCTTCTTACTTCAACTCGTTTTCTCTCATTTCAACTTGTGGAGGTGGTGGAATATAAAATGTGTCGCATAATATTTCTATTGGCAAAGGTTTGAGATTCGATGACCCACTAAAATTTTTTATCTCGCAGTTGATTTATATATCTAGTAATTAGTGTATTTCTAATCGTCACTTCATACAATACCTCCTCACGTCTTCTTTTTATGCACCTAAATATCCATTTTGGCATTCATGGACGGAAATCAAATGCATAAACTAAGTCACCTGCTTTAAACTTTGAATTTTCTAGCAGTTCCCTTTCTTGTTTTTTTGTAGTCCACTCGTTCTGCCTTTCGGGCTCAAAACATCAAAATACCTCCTAATTGGTCGGCCAAATATTATTTCTGCTGGTGATTTTCCGTCTTGACAGTTTGGATAAAGTGTTATTCTATAAGATTAGAAACAGTTGCAGTTCCTTCTATGTTATCTTCTCCTCCCATCTTTAAGAGAGCTCGCCTGAGAACATCAACAAATTTCTCTGCTTGCCCATTTGACTGAGGGTGGTACTATCGGGTTCTAATACGTTCGATTCAATTTCATTTGCAGAACTCCGCAAACTCTGACGACGTAAATTGCGTTCCGTTATCTGAAACCAAAACAATAGGTGTCCCAACACTACCAAATACTTGTCTGAGATGTAGACAGTCTTCGCGCAACATAAGTTTCAGGCCATTTAGAGTATGAATCTACCACCACCAAAAAAATATTGTCCGTTTATTGGTCCAACATAACCGATGTGTACTTGGACTCTAGGCTTGTTAGTCTCTGGCCATGTCTGGGCTTCTATTTTTGGTGTATTCAACGGCGAATCCCACAAACCAAATTTACATATCCAATCAATACCTAATAAGTTGGTAAGACAGTTCCCAGATATAAATATATAACATTTTCCCGTCAAAGTCTTGTCACCTAATCTGAGAGGTAGCTGTATTTCTCCAAGAAGAGTAATACTAGTTACATATTGTACAAACTTCTGGGATTATTGTGATCGGTTATTTAACTAAGATAGTGATCGACTAAATGAGGTAAAAACAATCAGGGATGAAAACGTCATAGTTGCAAATAGTCTACTTACTTTTGGACAATTTCATTTACACAAACTTCAAAGAAAAAATCTTTAAAGCTCTAAAGATAAGAAGACGGTAAAAGTTGAAGCGATGCATGGTTATGCATTTAGTAACGTTTTCAAGGTCTTCCAATAATTTAGGATACTTTAATCAATAATCCAACAAGCATGACACAAAATGGCTCCAATTACCAACAACAACAAGACTTGTTGATCGCCCATTAAGATCTGTGACAATAAACCAGTTTGCGCTGTCATTTTTCCATTAAATAATGATATCTTCCATTATAATCAGTGTACTTTGTTGACTAGTCTAGACACTAACAACTAACATATAGTTGGATTTCTATACACCTCTTTCGGCTTTTATACTATACATTTAGACAGAACAAGAAAATCGCAAGTCTACACACTATCGAATGGTTTCTTACATATTTGAACACATCCTGATCTAATCCCTTATGATAACTCATAAGACCATTGTATTCGAAAACTATTTAAAACGGAGAGATTGTGACCTGAAATAATATATAGTCAAGGACATTAACAATCTTTTATATAAAAAGTGATATAAAATCAATCAGTTTTAATATTAAACTGAACAAAAAATAGATGTATATTCACGAATGATAAAAAACTAGTACATAATAAAAGTACTTTAAGAGGAGAGCAAAGACTTGCCATTTAAAAAAACACTAGTAAGTACAATAATTAATAATTGTTACCGTGAAATAAGAGAAACAGATGAGCTGTCCGTGTATGATCCCCGAAAGACTAGTCAAAATCACAGCTATGTATAATGTGTTTATACAAATTATTACTAATGAGTATGATTTATCTGTCACTTAAATTGAAATAACTGTCTGTTAAGAAGTTTCAAGGGAAAACAAATACTATCAGCCAACTACGCTAGAAGGTAATAAATCACTTAGGAAATCCGTAGTCTTCAAATACTTGCTAACATACGGATAATAACGATGATTTTCGTAAATGAAAAGACACGGATGCAAAAAGTGAGTAAAAAAGACTTTCATAAAACAAATAAGATAAAAAGACGTATTATTCATTAGGCTTGAAAAAAGTGTTTGTAGAAGCAGTTGAAGAAATTTTGAAGGGTTGGCCTGTTTAGAACTCTTCAAACAAACACCTAAAGCTCGGGACTCCCAAAATAATTCATATTTTTAAGTGGATGGAAAACAAATTTCGCACATATTCACAATAAGTTTTAAGACAAAAAACCAACCTACTCTTGATGCTTTTCTTGTTAAGATATCTTTTCAGTTTGATTTCAGTTATGTCACAGAAGAGAAAGAGAGAAACGTTATTTGCATACAACGTACCAATGAAAAATATATAGTTCACAGAAGCATTACATGAAGGTAACCCAAAAGAGTAAAAACTATAGATTTACAATACTAAAATAAAAAAATGGAATGAAATTAAACGGATGTCAAAGAATGATATTAGTGGATGGTACATATTTGAATCGAATGACAGTAAGAATGAATAATTTCGCTTGTTGGAATGATAATGGGGGTAAAACACGGCATTAAGAAGTATTTTTCAACTTTCGTATATAACCGGATGATTTTAAACTGTTTAGGATATCATTATTATCTAAAGAGTTTGCTGATTCCGAAAGTAACTCTTGATGTAGGCAACTTACTGCTTCCAAAATTCGATCTGGCAAATGATGACTTAACATTTTCGGGTGGATTAGAATCGTTTGAAATTGTTGTGGGTTCGACCAGACACCAACTATCGTTTTCCCCAATTTACGAGGTTTAACACAACTAGAAGTACACCAAATGAAATTTAAAAAAACACAGGAGGAGCAATGAGACATCTCAAAGATAAGGCGCTAATGAAGAAATGATTCATGTATACTTGAATATGGTTATAAGAAGCTTAAACAAAAATGGTGATCGTAGTATACACTCTGAAATAATGAGAATTGATTTTTAGGCGAATCCTGATTACATTTAGTGCATCGTTGATTATATGTCGAAATTCCTTGTCATTTTACTTAATAACAATATAATCAAAAGTAAATAGATCTTGGTCTTACCTTTAATAATCATTTGGTTGAAAGGTGAGCGATTGTTGTCAATCAGAAGTAGTGTGTAGCACTGCGTAAGTGCTAAATACATCCTGTTCAAATCTTAAAAAATACACTGGTTCAATCTGTTAATGGACAGTCAAACAATTTTTTATTGCACATTATAATGGTTTTGTGAACCAAAAGTACGGAACATCAAAATCGAGAATTTGACTTCATATATGTCTTCAAGATATAAGACCTTTTACCAATTCTTGACAATAGGTCACATTGAGAACTAACACCAAGTTCGAAGATTGAGATATAACTGAATGAAAATATACTTAATATTAAGGCCTTGAATAAATGATTATTCTGTTGTCCGAAGAACTTATACCCAATTATCCTTTACACACAAGTACTATCGTTATTAAGGGGGAAAATTTAGGCAAACAATGGATACACGTAGGTCCAATATATATATATATATATATATATATATATAGGATATCAACTGAAAGTATTTGCAGGCCGTTGTAGCATCGATATTTACTAAACCAGATAATCTTAGAGATATGCACAGATAGCTATAGAAAATCGCTGGGATGATTAAGCAAATTAAATGCAGTGAAAATTAGGAAAGAACGTGGTGTGAAAAATATGTTAAAACTGACATATAACAAGATGAATTATAGTAAATAATTCAAATAAGAAGTTACAAGATGGTTGGTTATTTAGATAATTAATTCACTATGTTGCATATAAAACATTATTTTATGAACGAACTAATCAAATTTTAAATAGCAGGTCTTGAATTTCGGCGTGAAATTCATTCACGCATTTGGTAAAATATCATTTTGGCATTGTTGCTGACGTCAGATAGTGATAAAAACATTAAATCTAGTTCCTAACCCTAACGTTCAACTGTAAATCCTAATTTCTTACACTAATCTATAACCCTTATTTGGCCCAAGTAAGTGGGTAGACATTTCAAGGTCATTTTAACGCTGGTCAAATGTCCTCCATCAATCATAGTCTCACTAAAACATGAGAAAATTGCTTATTATTATTACCTAAAATTTTGAGCAACTGGAAGATGTTAAAATTGTACTCTTGAATTCATTGCATGGCTAACGATGAAATGAAAAAGTATGATAAAAATAAACCTACTTTCAAGACAATTTCAAGTTAACGTGAATTAAAAAGAGGACTTGAGCTACAATTTATCAACGAAATAGTATTTCTATTATAAATACACTTTAATTATTGATAATGAAGTTTGTCTTAAGTCTATTTTAAAGTTTTCTAACAATACTTAATAGAAAAGTAGAATCGGAATTGTTCGGGGACAGAGTAGATTAAAATATTCGAATCCTTTTTAATATAATATATAAGAGCGAAGATTTAGCAGATAAGGTATTCAAATTAAATACACTATATTCTAGATTTCAAACCCGCTTTATTTACGGGGTAGAGTGACAAATTATGATTGGCTGTCACATATTAATTACAGTCGAAAGTCCGATATTGTGTCCGCCTTTTGAGACGTAGTCTCTAAGTTGATGTTGAGTGATTCTCTGTGTTTGATCATTCTTATCTGCAACGGATTGTTGAGATTTAGTGGCAATACTTTGCTAGTAATGTGGAAGTTTAGTGACATGTGTTCGAGTACGACGAATATAATCCAGTTGGTGTCACCATCTTGTAACACTGATGTCGGTGGCTTAGACGTCCATTATGAATGTCATCCCAGAGAATTCCACATAGTCCCTTGTTTGCCGATACTGCGACTAATTAGAAAAAGAGGAAGTGGTCAGTATATGAGACGATACCATGGTATCAGTCAGTCACGAAGTAGAATTTGTACTGATGTATATCGGTTCAAGTTTCCATACTCCGTTAGCACATAGAGATGAAGTTGTCAGGCCAAATCCCAGAACAGTAGAGGTAGCAACAGTATCGATAGCAATAGAATAGATTAGGTATCGCGGGTACGGCTGAAAAGGATATATATAGATATATATAAATTTCCTGACCGTAACTAATACCTTAACGTAGTGGTCGAGTATGCCTATCTTGGTAGCTCAACAGAGCTATATTGGCTGGAACATATGTTCCTATAGGTCCTATCATGCCAGACAGGTCGATTAGAGAACGGTAAGAATAAAAGCAGCAACTCAAGGTCTGAGGGCGAATTCGTACTGATGACTGTAAAGGGGTATGACAGCAGTAAGGTGTTTCCCTCGGACAATCAGCATGACAGCGATGCTGCCTTCTCACAAGGAAGGACTTACTTACTTACTTACTTACTCCTGTTACTCCTCGTGAAGGAGCATAGGCCGCTCACCAGCATTCTCCATCCAACCCTGTCCTGGGCAATCCTTTCTAGCTCCGTCCAGTTGTAATTCATCGTTTTCATATCTGCTTCTATTATCCGACGCAATGTGTTCTTTGGCCTTCCTCTTTTTCGCTTCCCTTCAGGATTCCAAGTTAGGGCTTGCCTCGTGATGCAGTTTGACGATTTGCGTAATCTATGTCCTATCCATTTCCATCGTCTTTTCCTAATTTCTTCTTCAGCTGAAAGCTGGTTTGTTCTCTCCCACAAAAGGCTGTTGCTGATAGTCTCCGGCCAATGGATGTTGAGTATCTCGCGTAGACAGCTATTTATAAATACTTGTACTTTCTTGATTGTGGTTGTTGTAGTTCTCCAAGTTTCAGCTCCATACAGTAGAACTGCCTTGACGTTCGTATTGAAGATTCTCACTTTGATATTGGTTGAAAGTTGTTTTGAGTTCCATATGTTCTTCAATTGTAGGAATGCGACCCTTGCTTTGCCGATCCTCGCCTTTACGTCTGCATCTGAACCTCCTTGTTCATCGATAATGCTTCCCAGGTATGTGAAGGACTCTACATCTTCCAGAGTTTCGCCATCGAGTGTGATTGGATTGCTGTTCTCCGCTTTGAATTTGAGGACCTTAGTTTTCCCTTTGTGTATGCTGAGGCTTACTGATGCAGAGACTGCTGCTACACTGGCTGTCTTCATCAGCATCTGTTCGTGTGTACGTGATAGGAGGGCTAGGTCATCTGCGATGTCCAAATCGTCTAATCGGTTCTGAGCTGTCCATTGTATTCCGTGTTTTCCTTCGGATGTTGAGGTCTTCATAATCCAGTCGACCACCAGAAGAAAGAGGAAGGGAGAGAGTAAACAGCCTTGTCTGACTCCGGTCCTTACTTGGAACGCATCTGTCAGCTGTCCTCCATGCACTACTTTGCACTGTAATCCGTCGTATGAGTTCCGGATAATATTGACAATCTTCTCAGGAACTCCGTAGTGTCGAAGAAGTTTCCATAATGTCCTCCTATCTACACTGTCGAATGCCTTTTCATAATCAATGAAATTGATGTATAGTGATGAGTTCCACTCAACTGATTGTTCGACGATGATCCGTAGTGTTGCAATTTGGTCTGTGCACGACCGATCCTTATGGAATCCAGCTTGTTGATTTAGAAGTCGGGCGTCTACTGCATCCTTCATCCGGTTCAGCAACAATCTGTTGAAGACTTTCCCTGGTATTGACAGTAGTGTAATGCCTCTGTAGTTTTCACATTTGCTCAGATCTCCTTTCTTTGGAATCTTGACGAGGTGTCCCTCTTTCCAGTCCATCGGCACTTGTTCCTCCTCCCAAATCTTTTTGAATAGAAGATAAAGCATGCTTGTGGTTGCTTCGATGTCTGATTTCAGTGCTTCAGCTGGTATGTTGTCGGGTCCTGCTGCTTTCCCGTTCTTGATTTGTCTGACGGCCATTCTAATTTCTTCCGTCGTTGGTGGATTGACATCTATAGGAAGATCTATGTGTGCTGCTTCGATGTCCACTGGATTCATTGGAGCCTGCCTATTCAGGAGTTCCTCGAAGTATTCTACCCATCTGTTACGCTGTTGTTGAATTTCGGTGATTGGCTTGCCTTCTTTGTCTTTGACCGGTCTCTCTGGTTTACTGTATTTCCCTGCTAGTTTCTTCGTTGTATCGTGAAGCTGTTTCATATTTCCTTCTCTAGCAGCTTTTTCTGCCGTCGTTGCTAGTTCTTCCACGTATTTCTTCTTGTCGGCTCTAATGCTCCTCTTCACTTGTTTGTTCGCTTCTGTGTATTCAGCTTGTGCTTGGACTTTTTCTGCTCGTGTTCGGCTGTTGTTTATTGCTGCCTTCTTGTTCTTCCTTTCTTTGATCTTGTCCAGTGTTTCTATAGAGATCCACTCCTTATGATGGTATTTCTTTAGACCGAGAACCTCTTGACACGTTGAAGTTAATGCTTCTTTGATGCCTTTCCAGTTGTCCTCCATAGTAGTTTCTTCTTGTTTCAGTAGATCTTGTAAGGCTTGGAACCTGTTGTTGAGAGCTATCTTGAATTCATTGAGTTTGTCAGTATCTCGAAGGAAGGCTGTATTGAACCTTTGTATTGCTGTTTGTCTACTTGTCCAGTTCTTTTTTAGCTTCAGTTTTAAATTGGCTACAACTAGGTGGTGATCTGAAGCTACGTCAGCACCTCTCCTGGTTCTCACATCTTCCATTGTCCTTCGGAATTTTTTGTTGATGCAAATATGATCTATTTGGTTCTCTGTAGTGTGGTCCGGTGAGATCCATGTAGCCTTGCGTATACACTTGTGTGGAAATATTGTGCCTCCTATGACCAATTTGTTGAATGCACATAGATTTGCAAATCTTTCTCCATTTTCGTTTCTTTCTCCCAGTCCATGTCGTCCCATAATATCTTCATATCCAGTGTTGTCTATTCCGACTTTGGCATTTAGATCTCCCATCAGAATAGTTAGGTCCTTTCTTGGGCATTTCTCAATGATTGACTGCAGCCGCTCGTAGAACTGATCTTTAATTTCGTCGTTGCTATCATTGGTGGGTGCATAACATTGGATAATATTCATTAAGACCCCCTCCTTCTTTGTTTTGAATGATGCTTTGATGATTCTGGATCCGTGAGATTCCCATCCTACAAGTGCATTTCGTGCTACTTTGGACAGCATAAGAGCGACTCCCTGAGTGTATGGAGCATTGTCCTCTTCGTGACCGGAGTATAGCAGCATCTCTCCCGTAGCTAGCTTTTTCTGTCCAGCTTGGGTCCAGTGGGTTTCGCTGATTCCCAGTACTGCTAAGTTGTATCTCCTCATTTCCATTGATATTTGACTGGTCATCCCGGTTTCCCACATTGTTCGAACGTTCCATGTACCTATAAAAATTTTTGCTCTGGTTGTTAGAAGGGGCATCGGCCTCACGGCTTCCGAAGGAACTCGGCTTTCACCATGAAGCGTCATAATTCTTCTAAATGAAGACCTTCTAACTCCCAGGGCAGAGTTAAAATGGTTTGGATTATTTTTTCTGGTAAGCAATTTTTTAGCGAGTTAGTTTTCTACGGGATGGGGACGCTAACCCCATGCCCAACCCTCCTCCTTTACCCGGGCTTGGGACCGGCAGCAACCCTATAAGAGCTACAGGCGGAGTTCACAAGGAAGGAAGGGATTAGAAAAGGTCGACCCTAGAAATGTCACACCTCACCGGAGCTAACACGTTAAAACTTCCCATAAAAAGGCCATGCGTGACCAGCCTCAAGGAGTTATTCCTAGGGCTCTGCAGTCACGCTCCCAGGTCACTAAGACCACCACTAATCCAGCTTCTTTTTCAGGTCCCTCAAGAACAAATATCTTTCCACGGTCTGGGTGACCGGAAAGTGACATTCGCCTGCATATATCTATTAACACCTGAGATAATCTTGCTGAAGTTATTATGGTGTGAAAGAAAGCTGTACGAGACTAAAATCTGTTGGTCCTTCACGACTCCCTTATTATGGTCATGAAGATAGAGCAACACAGTGACCTGATACCTTACCAGACATTGATTCATAACAACATGCAGCGACGATCCTGCTGTAATATTCTTTTACTCTTTACATAAGAGTGAGACGAACGTCTTTGACTGAAGGTTCCCTTCCTAGTTGTATTTTTATAAAACGAACTGCCTCTTCCATCTTTTCTGCTGTCATTCACTATTTTTTATTAATTTTTGTTCCCTCTCTTATTATACTCACCTTTCTTCTTCTATTTCTTTATAATCTGCTTTTTACTGTGTGGAGAATATACATTTTGGCATCCGTTTGTACACATACTTGTATTTGAATGAGTAAATAAATATTTTGGAAACAAGCAATAATATTATATGCTTTGTAGCAAGGAGAAAAAAAATATTCTAGGTTATCTTGATTGAACTAACTGTTATTTATTCCAGTATTACCTATCACGTTTACTTTTTATGACGTGGTAAGACTACACCACATAGACGACCTTTAGCGATCAATCACAATTAAGCGGGCTGATGTGCGAATTTAAAACGCTGTTGTGGATATCTTGCTTATAAATCTCGTGACTTTTATTATATTCCGAATTTTGAAAAGACTGGATGGTGATTACCTTATAGAATGAGCTATCAACGTCAGTTTGTTTGGATTATGAGTGTGAAGGTTGGGCGTTGGTGTTTAGAAGCTTTAGGGTTAAAATCTGGTACCTAGGAGTTATAGGGTCGTTAGCATTTAATTAACATAGGGCTACGAATTAGGGTCTATCCTGATAACAGAACTATGATATCTAGCTTGAATTAACGATATTTAGCATTGATAAGTTTATTTATGATTTTAACTCTCAACCTTCTGTAATCCTATCGTTTTCCAACATTTTGAAAGTCAAATACGAAAGCTGTATTTTGATTGGCTACTCTCAAGGCCACCCATAAATTCACTGTAGGTCTTCGGTATAGCATAGTCTTGCCTAGATTTTACATAAATAATATAATTATTAATTTCTTCTACGACTTACTCTGGTTTAGATTCAAAAGAACAACGACATATCAACTCATCCATGGATTTTCCATTTTCTAGGACCCTTAAAAGGAACCAAACACTTTTAAGTCACCAGATTGTTCCCAGTTGGGGTTAGGTGTTTAGGCTTTGGGTTCTCATCACAAACTGACACAACTATAATGTAAAATGCTATGTAGCCATGTCGATGACTGATTTCACTCAAAAATACGAGGGGAGCTAACTGATTAGTTCTTCTATGAAATACAGCGCCATCAGGTTAACATTTGTTTCGAGAATAGGGGTTGATGGTTACGATTTATCTGTTATACATGATTTAAACAGACAATGATGAGAAAAAAGTACTTTTTCACTATCATTTCAAGAGTTTAATGATTGAAAATATATTAATGTATTTAACCTTAATATCACGTTTGCTATGACCGCTGGTCGGATAAATGTCTGTAGTCACGTGATTTCTGCTGTCCAAGCTATAAAATGGAGCTAAAAGCATATTAAGAAATACTTAATGATTTAATAAAAGAGAACACATAAAAGTTAGGGATGACAGAAGACGTACTTCTGTTTTAGACTGAAAATCATTTTTTTCGTAAAATGAAAATAATCATTCTCCATATTTAACTGTTTAATTTGTCAATAGTTTAAAATAAAAACTGCTTTATCACTGAAATATTGTCTGATATATTCAGTGAACATTGGAACTATCCAATTTCTAAAAACGTTCATGACTTAGGATTCTTAGCATAAAAAATAACTGTAAATACGGGACCCATCATCCCAAAAAAACATTAAATAATAGATATTTGCAACCGTTCTATTAAAAATAGAAATCAGGTTTAGATAACGCAGGACACATGTTTACCTCCTGTGTGAGATGCATTAGTTTTGTAGAAGAAATTATTGACTGTTGGGAATCAATAACACGTGCACTAATTTTCTTGTAAATGATTACGACTAATAGTCCTAACACAAATAATGATCATTCCATTTAATTATATACAGTTATACGAGAGAAGTCATTTACAAAAACGTACCATGCACCCATTTTACCACACTTTGCTGAAAACATCTTTTCCACTCTAGAACTACAATTTGGTGAAGTGCGTTCGATATTTCCTTGAGAATTATTTCCATCTATCACGAAACCAGTAGAACTGTCATCGACAACTGTATCAACCTTAACATCGACTAAATGAAGCACTAAACCACCAAACACACTGTTAGATAGATCATATGATTCAAGATCACGCGACTGAATTTCATTAGAAGAGCACGAATTTATTTCAGTATTGTTATTGTTTGGATATTGAACATGTGAAACAGGCATTTTAGATTGGGAATCTGTTGGAAGACTATTAGGATTGATCCAGCACAAAATTGAACGTGGACCAGGACGAAAACGACTGGATCGTGCAGTACAATAAGCACTTGTGGAATCTACGAAACACAGAGTGGCATGAAAAATTAACATGAATTATAATGAGATTTAATTAAATGGATATGAGTAGAACACTTGATATAAGCAACCATAAAGCGATCCTAAATCAAACAATATATTTCTGTGCATATGTAAAGTAGAAGTCATTCTATTCCACTATGATATGGATGATTCTGAAGCGCCCCAAAGAGTAATCACACTTATCTATTGTAATATAATCATCTAATTCATGCCTGAACTAAAAAATCAGCTAGAGATATCTAGCATTATAGGCAAGTTTTTTCATCGAAACTCAAATTTGACAGTTAATGGAATAGTAAAACACCTTAAGTCTCATAACTACGAAAGTATGTACTAACAGACAGTTGACTTGGTATTCAATGGGTTTTGAGTAAAAACAACCATCATAGAATAGTACAAATTCATTCCGTAACCCAATTTAATAATCTGTACAAGGTAGTCAACAGCGGGATGTCTTACGTATAACTACAAAAATTATCTGTAGTTTTACACAACCAATTTTATCATACCATAATAACATGAAGATAGAAACTAAAATTAATTTCTTGCACACGTTAGATCTAAAAGATTGAGATATAACTAGAAAAGCAGAGAAATGTATCTGTGAGTGAAAGTGCTAAATTAAAACTTGTACAATACAATTTATAGCATGTTACCATTACTTTAGTACTATTTGAGGGTATTATTTTTTATATAAACAGAATCTGATTCACATACAAGAGAGTACAAATTTCTGAAAATACAATCGATTCTTCAATCATGTGAAAATGTATTTCCTTGATCATTTATAGTTCTGTTTAGTTGTATACACAAAACTGCTACATCTACGCAGTATCATACGAACTTGGCAGAATATTAGACAAAATATACCATTTTACGACTGTTTGCTAATAAAAGCTCTCAGAGTAGGTATGACGATTTAACTCTTAGACTGAATAACACTATTTCAGTGTATAGTGAAAATTACACAGACCTCGATACATAACTCATGTTGTTAATAACTTCTTACATGTAATCAATCACAGTAAAAGAAGCATATAGTTAATCAATTTGATAATAAAACCAAACAATATGGTTTATTATTGAAAAGAGAGTAATATTTTACATGAGCATCTAAGTTTCTCTGTGTCAAGGTTTAGAGTATTTAACTGACTTGATGAAGTCGTGCTAAGACGAAACGACGATGAAGCTGTATAATACGTTTATGACGCTTCTTTAAAATCATCTTTTTAGGTTCACATAAATAAATAATTCCCGGGAAAAAGTATAATTCAACTTCATAGTATTATTCACCTGAATTGGAAGTATCATCATCTACTGAGAACCGAATTCGCATTTCGTCATTATCACATGGAATTTGTGGAAGGGAGTAAATTAAACGCTCTTGAGTGCTTGCATCCAGTAGTAGAGTATCACTACCAACAGTTGTGGAAGATTCTGGTTGAAAACATTGAGGTAAACACCATTTAAACAAACAACGGCGCATGCATAAAAATAATCCCCGACTTAAAAGACGATGCTTGGGTACTTTACAAGCAGATAAAGCATCAATTAGTCTCCACTTGAAATCCGATATCGTTGATTTATTCATACGTGCGAAAATGTCGTATCCATAGATGATGGATAGTAGAAAAGGTTTACAATAGTCGGCTAGTTCTTGACTAAATGGAAAAACGATTAAAACAACCAGTAGCTAGAAACTCTAGGATTCTGTTGATATATTTACGATAATTATACATATATATGTTCGAAATATAATCATAGTATGCACGCTAATATACAGACATGATCGGTTTAATATAAATGGAGAGACGGCTTTCTCAGAAGAGATATAACATTTGGAAAGGTATGGACTCATAAACTCTTTAGACTAAACATTTACAACAAAGGTGTTAATAACGTGAAGTATACAACCTAAAACCAGAATATCATTTTACAGTCTAAAATTGGTGAATTACACACTGTAGTAGTCATGACTTTCGTAGACAAAGATTTGTTATTAACATGTACAGAAGACATAGATACACTAAGGTGGCATAACTATGACGTCAAATGTGTTTTGGAATGATAGTTGTACCATTGTTGTTATGGTAGATACAATAAATGGTTAGTTTACTGCAATTCGGTTTGATGTTTCACATTGCTTTAATGTTGAGAGATCTTTCAATTCTATTCAAACGAAAATAGTTGAACACATAGTACTCAATTCAATAAGTTCTTATCATGTTTTTTTAAACAAGTTTTGAGCCCAAATTAACTATCACAATAGTAATCACGTTCGTACAAAACACTGATATGGAAGACGATCCCCTTGAATTGTTTAACACAACAAGGGATAAGCTTTTCAAAAGATAATTTAGGTTGCGTTGGACGAAGATCATGAAAGCAAAGTAAACTTTTTCAGTGTTAGAGCAAGTATTAATTAGATGTTTCTTATTATTTGACTTGTTTCAAATAGCTTGATGGATGTAACACGCTTTAAATCATCCAAACGACGACAATGATAGTCGTTTGGTCTAAACAACATGAGCTATGTACCTAAACTTGAATATGCTGAAGTTTTATCACACTTAGAAACATCCCAAACAGTGAATTTCAAACTCAATCCAATATAGTAATTACAATGACGACTAGTTTTCTTTGTTCCAACACTTTTTACTGTCTGTTCTAAACTACCAGCTTGCGTTTTTATCACATCGAATTAACAACTTTATGTAGAAATCGAAATGGAGATTGTTGTTTGTAAAAGCAAGTAAAATATTTTCTTCAGTCTAGTAAATTCTAAACACGGAGCCATAAGTTTTAGTAAATATAATCCAGATGAACTGTATCCTCCAAAAATTGAAAGTAGGAACTTATTCAAAAACAGCTTGTGATACACTTAAAAATAAGTTAAAAAGCGATATGACTAAGGTGTATGACGTCACAATAACTAAAACCTGAACGAGATAACATTAATAATCATGAATGTATTTATAATGAACAAGTTGTTAGGTTCGCCACATGATTAACACAGAATACGATATACAACTAAAGGCACTCGTACGCATAGAACCCCCAGAGTCGCAAATCAGAAGATAGAAGAAATAGGAGAAGTGATTGTTCGGTAAGAATAAAAAATATACAGAAAACCATGGGTATTTATAGACAAGTGTTTGCTATAACATCATTATAATTCAGTCAATCCGCAAGGAGGCAAGTTTTGCTACTGTCCAATTGCAAGATGCCGAGTTGATATTGTAGAAAGCTCTGTCGGATTCTGAATTGATGGAAACTCTTCGGCCCCTTTAAGGCCTCTGGAGGCTTCGTCATCCTTCTCGGAAGCCGTCCCAACACAAGTAAACCGAGTTAATCTACGTTAGTTTCCACCAATTTTTCTAGGAAGTAACTTGTTATAGAATTTGTTAGCTCTTATAAAAACAGAGTTATATTCACCTGCAGACAGACGTGTGTCTACAGTTTAATTTGCACTAGCTATGATGTTGTTCACATTGAGAAACATTTTGGTTTTAATACTTCCATAGTGAAAAACTAGTGAATGAAACCTTTTAGATAAATTTTGGGTCAATCGGGTTCAGTAAATGGAAGATATGACTCATCATACAAACTTGAGATATTTATCTAAAAACAAAGACATACATCGTAATTATAATGACGTTTTTGAAATGATCGCACACAAACTCAAATGAATAACACATTAGTAATCATAATTAAGAGTAATTTATTATGTTTGACTTCAATGTATAGAATAATAGTTCTCTCTTTTAGAAAAAAGTGGTTTTCAAGAGGTGGGTGGTGACTCACAGGTACATTGGCTCAATTAACGCCAAATTCTGCACACATAGAATTGAGTTTTGTGCTAAGATACGGAAGACAAAACAGACTAGTATACAGCTAAAATAAATGAACTGAGTGGATGTGTAATTCACCACATGTTGAAGACTGAACGAATGCTTTGTATGGAGAGGAAACAATGATCAATCTTAAAGTTACTTGGAATCACAATTATGATTAGTAGTTAAATTCGATTTCCAGTTGCCACCTAACTAAATTTCGAAAAAAGAATTTAGTTTTTACGATGGAAGCTATGTATCAGCTCTACACAAAGTTGAACGTATTTGTCAAAACAACTGTCATCATATAAATAATCCTTCTTTATTTACCAAATGTCGAAATGGGAATTTTCACTATACAAGTATTTGCTTGAACTATCGTCTTTGCAGTTATACCATTTGTTACAACGCTTGGTTTTACTTCGTCTAATGTTATAACGGTTGGGTTTCCACGTTTCCACGTATGGGACATTAATTTACGTTAAACGATTATCTACAATAGATCCCTCCCAGTGTCTATTCTACAGGACGTCAACACAACTCAGATCAAGAACACGTAATTAGCCTGACCACAACGTAAATATATTTCCACACCAAAAACCGACACAATCCACAACAATGAATAATCAATAATAATTGTGTCACAATAATAAGGATAAGGGAATATATAACTTATCTGACACCTGTCAGACTATCTAACATGTCTGACTAAGCAGACAACCAATCATGATCATTCTCACCCACACATCACCATTCCTACTGTTTATTTTGTATATATACCGATTACGAATTTCATCATTTCCTAACATTCACAAAGGTGGTAAAAAGAATTTACATTAGTGTAAAATTAAAAAGGTTATACAGAATATTTTTTATTATGTCACCAATAAACTGATTTTTACGGAGACGATATATAGTAAGTAATCTACAGAGGTGACCGACGATTATTCCACTGTGGAGATTAGTTAGCACGTGTATAAATTGTATCTTTTCTTGAGAAAACAACAGAAACGATAATTAATGAGACTGGATTGATAGTGCTAGTGACTAATAAAAATAAATGACATGGTAATAATGATACTTACTTCATCATACCCAAAGGTGCACTGAAAGCATAACCTTTCACATCAGGATATTTACAGTGTAGGATGACCGAAAGAAAAGATGCAATGCCAGCACCCAGACTATGACCACATACCACTAATTTATATTGTGGTTTTCTACTAAATGCCGTTTCAATTGAATGATCAGTTAGTAAACAACTGTATAAATGTCTTGATCGTTCTACCATACCACGATGTCCAATAAAACATGGTCGTCTACCCGTTTTTGATTCGACAAAATCTTCAACTTCACTCAATCGTACACCATCGTACAGCAAGTCGACTATAGTGTCATCGAACGACAAAGTACCACGGATAGAGATAACAATACATTTACTAAAATCATCGACTGCTACAAAGTAAGGAGATTGGTAAACCTATGAAAGATATTAGACAAACATTGAAAGGAAGTGAAGTTGACAAGTGAATACAAAAACAATGTTATCGTTATTAACATAGTAGGAATGATATCGTTTAAAATCTCTTTCTACTACTAGGATTTTTCCATAGAAGCTTAACTTATGACTCAAATAATCGACAACAGAACATGACGACGTAAGATGTATCTAAAAAGGAATCAAGAGCAACTGCTAGTTTATTGGTTCGTCTTCCTGATAAACGTTGACAGGTACGATAGATGGGTTAATATTTTGTTGATGTCTGCTTGTAGAAACAAATTAACGAGATGAAAAGTTACATCCAAAACCAGATATTGCGTTCGATCTTATCATAACTAATACTTTTAATGAATATTTGACAGTATTCATTAAGTATTCAAGAAATTCAAAAGTAAAATTACCAGAAAGGAATAGAAAGATGATAGGAGATAGATGAACCAAGTAGTTTATTGGTTCTACTTCTTGTCACTAAAATTTAATAATTTAATGCCTGGACACTTAATATTAAACAACTATAAATATTTTTCAGAAATTAAAGTTTTCACGTAATATCAATGTTCTAAAATGATTTGATGACATCTTGCTGTTCAGATATCGAAAAAGTACATTGATTAATGTATATCTAATTTTCATATTTTGTAGAGTAAAACTAGTTGAAAAAGCACATGAAAACAGTGCTTAAGTACAAAGGCCAGAATTTATAGTTTAACACTGCTCTCAACATGAATTCCTCTCAGTTACTTAAAAACCTACATGATTCAGTTTTCAATGCACAGAATCAATATTTAAATACAAACAATGTTGAATATAGTATCGTACAAGAGTCTATTTTCATTCGCAAGGCTAACTTATCGATAGACAAACTAATCAAAAGGACAAGTACTCTATTTATCAGGAGGAAAGACTGCGACAGAGAAAAAGATAATTTATGTATGAGGTATCTGAAAGACTACGCATTTAACCGTTTTAACACAAACCTCCAAAAATAAAGTTTAAACTTTTAAGTGGTGAGCATAAAGTAGGGTTTGTTTTCTATGAACAGGTCAAATAATGGGAAAGTAATAATTCAAAGGAAATAAGATTCAGTTTCACACAATTTATGTTTAATTTGATTTAATTTCCTTTGAGATGCCTAATTTAAGGATTTTACTAGAAATTATCTGATTTGTTTTTCATTTGAAAGAGTATGGTTGATCATATACACTGAATTTCCCAATGATTCAGTCATATTAGGCCAGCGATTTTTTATCACTGCATTCTTTCAAATAAGACAATCCACGATACTCTGCGCGCTCGTCGATGCGAATTGCTGAGTTACTGCATACTAAAATGAAACATTTAGCTAGTGCTACCTGGTTTTCTATGGATGTTTAACTTGTGTTGGTTAGTGATATCAATAATGTTCAATAATCTCTACGAATCTCTATGCTGATAAAACAATATTGCTGAAATGATTAATGCATAGATAGAATTTTCAAAATTTATTTGATTATAAAACCAGATGTCTGCACTTCACTAATTTAATCAACTATAATTAAACGCATAAGAAAAAGTAAAAAAGTTGTCATTTAACAGACGGGAAAATGTATGTGTTCAACCATCACATTTATTCTTTAGCATGAGGTCATCAAAACATGGACCGATTTTCGATAGCTTATAAGCGAATTCTCGCTTTTTTATACAGAAAAAAGATCAATATATAATAACCAACCACATTAGGATAGTGGTAGGCCGGAAGAATCATTTTTTGTTTCAAATAATTTAGCAGATGAATTAATGAAATTATATAAGTTATGAAAAGTAATGTTGTTAAATAATATATGGAAACAATTCTTTGTAATAACATACTGAATTATCATAAGACAGTTTAATAAACTGATCTTCTCTTAAACAAGTGAACTCGAGTATAGCTGCCAGATCGCATGTATATTTTGAGCATATACAACAACTAAGTTTTGTATTTCCAGATGATACAGGATTACAAGAATTTCTTTATTAAAGCAATAAACAGAAAATGTATGTATAGATGATAATAATAATAATAATAATAATAATAATAATAATAATAATAATAATAATAATAATAATAGTGTTTATAAGGCTTTCTGATAACACCTATATGAGTAGTGTAAAACTACTTCAGTAACATAAAGTACTTCAGTATTGACAGGCGATTGGCAACTTGTTAGGTATGCAGAGGAATATACCAATAATTATCATGTTAAGTCGAATGGTGTCCTTGTACGTTAAATGTACACTGGCTATTGGTCGGTATTTATTTCACTTGTTAAATATTGTGTAAATGTTGTTTTCTATTTTTATGGTATGATGTGGTTTGTTTGGTTGGTATATAAACAGAGTATGCCTCAAATACAATGATTCATGTCTCAGAGGCTGTGACTTGTGTTCTGGACTCAACTGGCTGGGCTAGACAGGGAAGCAGGGCCAATCGGGACTCTAGGTCGTCCTTACGTGTTTTACGTGTCACTGATCCGGTCGATATAATACGCTGCGCATCTAACCTGCAGTCCACATGTTACAACGTAACTAAAAGTTTCATACGAAATTAACCAAACAATTAAAGCATAACGGTTAAAGTGAACTTGACCTGATAGACGAAAGAGGATAAAATACACCATAGTTAGGATAATAGAAATAACATTACATTATTTGGTGGTGAAATCGCTGTATAATAAACAAGATCCAAGTACACAGAAATAGTGATATTTGATCACCTTAATCCTTGAGGGGTAGCTAGTAGACAGGATAAAGAAATAATGTTAATTAATCAGTGTTGCAAACTTACATTTACAGTATTACCTTATCTTCAAAAGTAAACAAGACTAATGGATGTATCCTGACAAATTACAAATTATAAACCGCCTTGAGCTTTTTTACCATCCACTATGAAGTGTTAATCGGTGATTTAAATCGAAGCTCCCGTTAAATTGAAAATAATTTTACTAAATTTCCAGGAAGCTATTTTTGGAGAGATAACACTACTTTTTTCAAATAAACGAAGAAAACAGATATTTATATTTCGATAATGTAATAAGAAGACGAAGATTACCAGAACTATGTGATATATATACATGTCACTTTATAAGAGATATGTGGACGATATCTTAGTTGTTTGTGAGAGGAAAGAGGATATGTACTCTTTATTAAATAAACTTAACACTCTCCGAAACCATATCATTCTCCCTTCCTAGATGTACTTCTGAGTAGACGAGAAGATGGCTCAGTCAAGCGATCTATTTTTAGAAAACCAACGTGGACAGGTTATTGAACTGTGCAATACAAACGTGGTTTAATAAGGTGTCTTTTCAACAGGCTCGATCGTTTTTGTACAAATGACGCCACTGATGATGTTACTAAATAAAACATTAATAGAAAATGGCTATCCTTTGAAATTTATAAATAGATGGAAAGTGCATGGTACAGCGAGACCTACTGTAGCATCGGTAGAGGAAAAGCCTGTCTACATCACCTTACCATTCAGACGTGATTCAAATAGCCTTTTATTGAAACAAAGACTTAAATCAGTCATCAATAAAACCTATTGTGCAGCAAAGCTCATTATCAAAGAAAGAACAAGGTGCATGCTTCATCCAAAACCTAAAAGACATGAAAACAATTGTGTCACATCCCACTGTGTTTACCAATCTAAATGTGTGTGTGGCCACACATACGCAGGGAGGAGTAATCGTGATCTCAATATTAGGGTGAGTGAACATGTATCCAAATGGCTGCAGAAACAAATACAATCAAGTGACCCAATAAGAGCAGAGGATAAACATCCATCATCCTCTATTGCTAAACATATAATTGAAACAGGTCACAAGATTGATCTAAATTCAGCTTTTGTAGTGTTGCATAAAAGTGTAAAAGGGCGTATACTAAGGTTTATTGAAGCCTTAGCCATACGAAAATTCAAACCCCCTTTGTGTGCTCAAAAACAGTTTGTTCTTTTACCTTAAACCTACCCTGGTAATATTGACTTATTATCCAGAGTGATTAGGTTTTGCTTTGTGTTCACATAATTATTATTATTATTACTCTTATCATTATCCTTATCTCTTCTTACCCCGTTTCCTGTCTAGTTGACGTTTTATTTTTTATATATAAATGCTCTTAACAAGTATATGTGTGACCAGATTGTTCGAAATTTTGTGCGCTAATTTATCACATAGTTCTGATAATCTTCGTCTTCTAATATCATTATCGAAATTTATCAAAGGGACTAATTGTTTTAAGGTTCTATTATTTTTCCAGTTATCCCTTGATGATTTATTCAGCTTAATGCAGAATATCAATCTCATAATTACTTGTTCTGAGTCGTTTTTCAGTTGACCATAATTCATAATGAAAACCAATAAGAACTGAAAGAGCACTAAATAGTATCTCGAACAAAGATATCATTGACTGTCAAGGCTTTTATTTTCAATATGCTGACTCCTCATTCACAAAACTATTATTTACATGATATTATTGATATGTCAATTTCATTTGGAAAAATATCAGTTAGGTTTCTGAGCGGAGTTATTCTGGAAGCATATATTTGTCAAAATAAATTACTGTTGTCATGATTATTAGACAATAGGTCTGTTGTTTCAGTTTAATTTTAAAAATTGTTATGCACGCATATTTATCAATGGAATGTTTGACAGAATGATCACTAGTGTAATTTAGATACATGAATGACAAAATGAGTTAAACACAGTACTGTATCTAGTTTATCTCATACTCTATCATAATATTCTCGGTATTTAAGGTTGTCAAAAATACTACGATTAATTCACTAGTAAAAGAAGCAGTTTAAAATATCAAATTTTATTAGTTAAAAAGATGCTCAAATGTATCTAACCATTAAAGAGTAATATACTCTTATCATTATCCTTATCTCTTCTTACCCCGTTTCCTGTCTAGTCGACCTTTTTTATATATAAATGCTCTTAACAAGTATATGTGTGACCAGATTGTTCGAAATGTTGTGCGCTAATATATCACATAGTTCTGATAATCTTCGTCTTCTAATATCATTATCGAAATTTATCAAAGGGACTAATTGTTTTAAATTATATGTTTAGCAATAGGGGATGATGGATGTTTATCCTGTGATTTTATTGGGTCACTTGATTGAATTTGTTTCTGCAGCCATTTGGGTACATGCTCACTCACCCTAATATTGAGATCACGATTGCTCCTCCCTGCGTATGTGTGACCACACACACATTTAACAAGTATATGTGTGATCAGATTGTTCGAAATGTATTGCGTAAATATATAACATAGTTCTGATAATCTTCGTCTTCTTATTACATTATCGAAATTTATCAAAGGGACTAATTGTTTTAGATATTTATATCGCAAAAAAACACAGCGTAATAGTAATTAAAGCGTACACTATGTTAATAAAGATGAGTGTTCTTTGGTCCTATTTTATCTTAAGTTTCGTTTAATCGTCTTGCACAGAACACTAAAGTTTGGTTTTTTTTTTAGTTTATTTTCACAAACAACTGACTTGATTCCTACCTCATTGGAGGACCTTGCTCGGTTTAAAACCACACTAGTTGATAGCTGCCAACAATACAAGAATAGTAAGAGTACCACAAATCACCTACTAACCAAGCAGCACCGAGACTCTTTAATAAAACGAAGAAAAGATGAAACCCTGACCATAACCAAACCAGATAAAGGAGGAGGTATAGTTCTCATGAACAAAAATGATTACATGGGAAAAATGGAAACAATGCTTAGCGATTCTAGCAAATTTCAGAAAATTACTAGTAATTGTGACATCAATAATAAAGTAGAAAGACAATTGGCCAATTTCCTTAAGTATCTAAAGAAAAAGGGAATAATTACGACCGAGATTCACGATTCAACTAAGCCGACTGGATCATTTACACCACGACAGTATGGTTTGCCTAAAGCACATAAATCGGGTCTTCCTCTACGCCCAGTTCTAGATATGTACAATTCTCCTTACCACAAAATCGCAAAGTGGCTAGTACGAATCTTAGAACCTTTACACAAATCAGTTGTTAGAAATAGTGCAAAAGATGTCTTCAACTTCACCTCCAAAGTAGAAAATATTAATGTTAGTATGAAAAATATGATCTCATTGGATGTAGGATCTTTGTTCACCAACGTACCACTTATGGAGACTATTGAGTTTATATGCAAGCGAATATCGGAAAAACAAATCAACATTGGTTTGCCTAACGATACCCTAAGGGAACTGCTCCTAAGATGCACTCTGAATGTACATTTTGTCTTCAACAATACTTACTATAGACAAATAGACGGGATAGTCATGGGCTCGCCTCTAGGTCCGATTTTAGCTGATCTCTTCCTAGCAAAGCTAGAAAATGGACCTCTCAATGAGACTATTAAGAAACTGGATTTATATTGCCGATACATTGACGACACCTTCATCATCGTAGATCAAAACACTAGTAAAGAGGAACTCTTAGACCAATTCAACAGTGTTCACCTAGCGATCACTTTCACTGGTGAAAGCGAGCATGATAAGAAGCTGAACTTCCTTGACGTCACACTAAGCAGACGAAGTGACGGCACATTAAGTAGAAGCGTGTATAGAAGAAACCCCTCTTCATGCCAATATACTCACTTCTGCAGTTTCACACCCATCCGTTACAAGAGAAATTTGGTCAGATGTCTCACGACCAGAGCAAAAAAGATCTGTACAGTAGACACTCTAAGTCAGGAGCTTGAATTTATCAACAACTCACTGACCGAGATCGGCTACCCCAGCGCGTTTATTAACAAAGAAGTCGGAGATTTCGACTGTTCGTAAGAAACCTTTATACATGAAAGTGCAATTCAACGGGGATGTGGCTAGTGACACTCTGAAATATAGGTTAACCAAAGTAATCACCAGGACATTCTACGCAGCCAATCTTGCGTTGACCTTCTCTTGTCAACCAGCGATGTCTACTCAAACGAAGGATAAGTTACCTGAGT